TTTCTTTTACTGTTTCACACCTTTGTCCTTGTCTTCTAGTGTAGATTTTAGGCCTATTGATGGCAGGGATTTTATATTTTATAGTCGGTCTCATTACAAGTGTTTGTGTACTCCAAATAGCTCATTAGCAGTTGGTAAATAAGAGAATGATGTTAACTTATGTGGGAATCCAGTTGATTCAAGTGTGAATTTTCTGAGTAGTTAAGTTTTGGAAGTGATCAGGATCAAACTTCTTCAATTAAGAAGTCATAGCAGTATATGAAGACGAAGAAAAAGTGAAGAATCCTGCATAAAATTCTGCCTTTAGTGTAAGCAGTGATTGGTTTACTGGCTTCAACCTCTAAATTTTTAACAGCCTTTATCTGGTGAATGTATGAGCATGATAAAGCTGTTAGGATCTTTCACTACATGTTTTTAAAAAGTTGATTATGGGACCAGCAGATGGCAAAATGGTTACATTGCTGAACTCTCATGTATCAACCATGGTTTGAGTCCCAGACCTGGCAGCTTTAACTCATGCTGGGTGTGTGTTTATGTGTGCCCAAAATCCCAGCAGGAGAATGGAGGAGAAGAGATTACAACATGGCTACTCCCCAGGGGGGTGATTTCTCACTTTCTGTCTCTCCAGCAAGTGCATGTGCCCTATAGCAAAAATCTCTCTTAAAAAAAATGTTGATTACTCCTCAGTTACATTTTTAATTCTGATGAAAATGACAACTATTAAGTGAATGCTTTTGAGGACTTATATCAGGAAGTGAGAAGTATGAAGGACAACAAGCCCTGATGACTTTGATGCTGAGTACAAAAGCCAGTGGCAATTTAACCCCTGGGTGTTTTTATTAGGATGGTTAATGTTTTTCATTCATGTTCTGATTACAAAATTGCATTAGATTTAAGTGGTCTTCCCTACTCATATTTCTCCTGTAAGCCCTATTATTAATAGGTGTACAATTTGACAAAATAGGAGATTCTTCATGAAGGTATATATATGACATTATAGCATAATGTCTGCTTTTTTTTTTTCTTTTTTTTTTTCGTCTATAGGAGAATACCTAGTTTGGTGTTAAGCAAATAGTATATGCTTAATAAATACTTGTTCCTTCGTAGGCACTCTTTAATTTACAAATATTTTACTGTGACCATAGTTCTGGCTATTTTTCATTTTTTTCCCTAGTTCATGTTTCCTTTCATTTCTCCATGAGTGACTGAGATTGTTTAGATGAGAATGTACAACAGAAGGGAGACACAGAAACCCAAGGGATAATGTCAGGATCACCAGAAACTTCTGGAGGTAGTTCTAAGGTCAGTTTGAAGATAGAGCCTAGTAGCCTTTTGTTGACCAGGCCTGGCCTGCCTTTTAAATGCTGATTAAGTACTGTACTCAGAAAGGCCAGAGACACCTCAAGGTCAGTGGGTCTAACATACATTTTAATACCTAAACCAATGGTATAGCCTCCTTCTTTGTTGGGCATCAGAGAAAATATGTTTCTCCTTCCACCAGCCTATATGCAAGTCCCAGGAAGTTAAAAATAAAGAAATGTAGGCACAGTGAGATCAGCCCTAGGATCGTGATTGGTGATGTGTTTGGTTCATAATCAGTGGACAAAGTGTCCTTGTCAGAGTAGAGACTCCTTTTAAGTGTTAGCTTCCTGGAGAGGCCCCATGACTCTGAAGCCTGAAGGAAGGGTTTCTATTTGTTTGTTTGTTTTAAACTACCATTTACATTAACTGGAGCAAAAAGCTGAAAAACAAACATCAAGAATTAGGACAGGGACGGAAAGAACCACAATACAGTCAAATGTAAGCTATATCAGGGACAGACTTTTTCACTTTTTTTCAGAAAAGATTATAGATCTTTTACATGTATCTCTAACTGGCTATTAACTTAGCTTGTCCTGAGGAAGGGGAAATCCAACCTTACATTCAAGATATTATCAATCTAGTCAAGTCTATTTTATACACTCCAGAAAGAAGTCATTCATATCACAATGCTCTTCTGAGTACTCCTCTTTTAAACAACATCAATTAAATTTACAAGAGGGGCCTTCAAAATCTAGAACCTTCTTATCTGTTTGCTTTTTCTCTCACCAACCAATGGCCTCACCACCACCACATTTCTTAATCGTAGTGTCTTTGCATGTGCTATCACTTCCTTTGCCTGAATGCTCTTCACTCTCCTTATTTGCCTTGTACTTGCTCAATATCTTCAGTTTAATATCCTTCCCAATAGCCTGATAGCTTCGTAAGAACAAATCACGTCTTTCCGGTTCAACATTGTTCCCATGACTCCTATCATAGTATCTAACACTTAATAGGCTGTCAAAAAATACTGACTTTAATCATACCTGTTAGACTCAGTTCAAACATCATCCTCTTTGGAAAGGTGTCCCTGAACCTCTGACTCTCCTTTAGTTATCTCTTATATGTTCCATGGGCTCCAAGTTCATACCTGTCTGTTGTAGTGCAGTTCTTTAATAGTCTGTCTCTCTTGGGGTTGGCAGGTGGCATGGTGGTTAAGGCACTGGATTTCCACATGGCCAACCATGGTTTGAGTCCTGGACATGTTGGCTTGCTTTCTCACTTTCTCTCTCTCTCTCTGGTCAAATTAAATAACAATAATAATGATAATGATGAACAAAATAATTATAAAAAAGTCTGTCTCTCAGTAGACTTTGAGGTCTTAAGGGATAGAAACCATATCATCTTTATCTTTGTAACCCACAGCACTCTATGTATCACCTGATATACTAAAAGGAACTCAAGAAATGTTTACCAAGTAGATGGCTGAGCAATGTTTGAGCATGGAAGGCCCTCAGCTATGACCCACGCCCACATCTCTCAAACAGGAATTTATGTGAAACCACTGAATAGACAATGTTTCTGCAGCACCCATTTTTACGCAGTATTTCAGGAAAAGTGATATTTAGATAAATTGTGTATGTGAACTGAGTCGAATTCAAGTTTACAGACCAAATTTTAAGTCAAACAGGAATTTCAACAAAACAAATTTACCTTGGGGCTCCTTGTCCACCCGTTGTGGGAGCACGTATTCTTTCTTCTCTGCTGTTCTTGGCTACTTTGCCATTTTAGGAGTAGAAAGGCCGCATACGCAAGATTAAAAAAAAAGTGAATGGCAATGGCAAAACTGGGATTCAAACTGTTTTCAGATATCTAATGTTCTTTTTCTCTTTACTGTTCAAGTTAGTTGCCTCATCACACCTGTAGAAAGGTCAAATTCATCTTTACACAGTCTCGAGAAGTATGTTAAGATACAAATTCCATTCAGCATACTTTAGTTTAGGTCAAAGAGAAGGGCAAAAGGAGTGGAGGACTGAAAAAATGTTGAGTAAGGGGCATACCGGCATGTTCATATACTTGGCATCTAAATTTACATTATAGGTAGCTTCTCTAGCCTTTTTTTTTTTTTTTTGAGAGATTTCTGCAATAGGCCATGTGCACTGGCTGGAGACACAGAGAAAAAGAGAAAATGAGAAACCACCCCCAGAGGGAATGGCAATGAGAAATCCCTATGCTTCCATTCTCCTCTTAATATTTTGGGCACATACAGATGCATGGGACTGGAACTTGGTCACCCAAGTGGGAATCCAATGCCTTTACCACTACGCCATCTGCTTTTATTCTATGATGGTGGTTCATTTAAATCCTATCCTGCCCCTCTTTTGTTCTCAGTGTGAATTTTTATTTTTAAAGACTCCTTTTCCAAGAGGATGGAAGAAATACAGTGTGGGCCTCTTCCTGAAGATGAAATGCTATGAACCGCACAAGGACCAAAGGGCACACACACTCAGTGCCTTGCTGGTGCTGGAAAACAAACAAAAACAACAACAAAAAACAACTTTCCCCCCCCCCAAAAAAAAAAAAACACCTGGCCCCTAGGGATTCGCATTTTAAACAAAGCTGTAACACACATTATCTTCTTCATTCCCCACAACCACCCCAAATCTAAACTATACAGTTCAGGGAACTGAAAATAACACTCGATTCGGTTACAGGTGCTCTGGTTAAAAGCGCCTAAATACCCCATTGGGATTAAGTGGTGGGCGCCTGGTGGTTCATCAGCCGCCTGGCAGTATGGGAATAAAGAACAACTGTGTTTCCTTGGTGGCAAGGCAATGATGGCAACAAAAACACCCGCACGTCTATTCTGACCCAAGCAGTCTGTCTAGGCAATTAATCAGCGCTCCCCAAGGCTTTTCTCATAGTGCCAGTTGCCTTGCCAATCAGACCTTCCCACAGACGGTGGCAGGGCCACACCCCCAGAGGCCTGTGGGAGGGAAGGGGTTTAGGCCTACAATAGTGGAAACTGAGCCTCAGGTCGACCCCGCGGGTGAAACTCACACGCGAGTCTTCCAAGGTCTCAGTTTCCCCATCTCTAAAATGGGCTCCCACTCCTCGGTTCCCCCATCTCTAAAATGGGCTCCCTCGCCTCGCTCCCGGCCAGTTCCCTCCCATTCGCGCTAGGCCAGTAGGAAGTGAAATCAGTGCTTAACCGCAGCTGAAAGTCCGCCGTTAGGCTCCGGTCGCCGCGCCGGGCATGCTCAGTAGCCGGGCCGGCTTGGCACCCTGAGTAGGAAGCAGCTTTCGGCAATCACGTGTGTTGAGGCCCTCTTAAAGAGATAGGCACCTACTTTCCCTCCACCCTCAACACCGCCCTGAGGGCGGTGGCGACCGTGGTAATTGCAGCTGCTCAGGGGCAGGGCTTGCCCCCGGGGCGAGGAAGGGGC